GTGCTGACCTCGATGAGCTGCGAAGCAAAACCGGCAACCCCGTCGACCGGATTGAGGAGGCAATCGGCGCGGCCGATTGCTTGCTTCAGATGTCCAGGGTGGCCGGGGGCCCCCAACAGGAGGCCCTGGTAGCGGTCGTGCGCTCCATAATCGAGGCGGGCAGACTCCTCGTGGCCGAGAGCAAGGCCCACGTTAGAAAGAAGGCACGCAAGAAGGCCGGAAAGGGCAAAGGGAGGGGGAACGCGGCCCCAATCCAAGCCCTAGTCTCGGCCCCGGCTGTCACCGCACAGCGCCCGTTGGAGCGGGGCTGGACGGTAGCCGGGGAGAGTAAGAAGAGGCAGAAGGCCGCCAAAAAAGCGGCCAAGAAGGCGAGTATGGACGCCGCCGCCGCCGGGACGGGAGCGCCGAGGAAGCTCCGCGCCCCTCGCTCCTCGGCCGTCATTATCACTTTGACGGCGGAGGCAGCGGAGAGGGGCGTGGTGTACGCCGAGGTCTTGGCGAAAGTCAAGGCCAACGTGGACCTCAAAGCTCTCGAGATTCGGGGCGCCCGGTGTAAAAACACACGGACGGGAGCCCGGCTCCTCGAGGTCGCCGGCGCTACCAGTGGCCCCAAAGCCGACGCCCTAGTGGCTAAGCTGAGGGAGTCACTAGATGCAGCTGACGTCCGAGTGTCCAGGCCCACTAAATGCGCCGAAGTTCGCATCACGGGCCTAGACGACTCTGTCACGGCGGACGAGCTCAGACTCGCCGTGGCGGAGACGGGAAGCTGTCCTCTGGACAGCGTGAAGGCCGGAGCAATACGCTGGAGAGTAGCAGTACGCTGGCCGGTGGAGAGGTGGCAGCGGTTGTCAGCTGCCCCATCGCGGCGGCCCAGAAGGTCGCCGATGGACGGAGCCTCCTGGTCGGAGGTTTTCTGAGGGCACAGGCACGACTCCTGCAGGCCCGACCGGCAAGGTGCTTCCGGTGCCTGTCGGTGGGGCACGTAAAGGTGCATTGCACGGAGGAGGCCACCGTAGATGACCGATGCTACCGCTGTGGCCAGCCCGGTCACAAGGCGGGTGGCTGCAACGCTCCCCCCTGCGCCTGCCAAAAAGAAAAAGCGGAGGACTCGGAAGAGTAGGGCCTCACGCTCTGCGGCTGTGGTGATCACACTGCAGCCCGGAGCTATCGAGAGAGACCTAACCTATAAGGAGGTTCTCTCGGAGGCGAAGGCCAAAGTCGCGTTCCCCTACCTTGGCACACCGACTGGCTTCAGGATGAAGTGGGCGGTTACGGAGGTGGCGGGTCCGGACGGCAGGGAGAAGGCGGACATCCTGGCCGCCAAGTTGAGGGAGGTCCTCAGAGGGGGACGTTCGCAGAACTGCGCGTCGATGGCCTGGACGACTCGACGATCTCAGAGGAGGTCGTGGCGCCCCTTGCTCGAAGCAGTTGATGTCCGCCGGGTGACGTGCGGGCTGGCGAGATTCGCGTCGGCGCTGCTGGGCTCGGCACCATTTGCTGAAGTGCCCGGCAGCGGTGGCGAAAAAGATAGCCGACAGCGGACGGATTTTGGTGGGGTGGGTTGCGGCACGGGTAAAGCTGCTGCAACCTAGGGCTATGCGGTGCTACCGATGCCTTGAGGTTGGGCACGTCGGGGTGCGGTGCACCGACGCAATTAACCGCAGCGATCAGTGCTACCGCTGCGGTGAGCTCGACCACAGAGCGGCCCAGTGCTCCGCGAAGCCAAACTGCAGCCTGTACAACTGCAGGGAGACCCGCAGACCACAGCATGGCCGGGAAGGCATGTGGTGTCCCCGCCCAAAAGAAGGGCAACAAAAGGAAGAGGCCAACCAAGGCTGTAGCTCAGCCTGGTGGCTCTTCGGCCGACTCCGGGCCCAGGAGTGCCGAGGGAATGGATTGTGCGTAATGGCGCAATTCCATTTCCTCCAGGGCAATATCAACCACTCTGCCAGGGCTCAGGATCTCTTAATCCAGAGCATGGCGGAGTGGTCGATTCATGTGGCTGTGGTCGCCGAGCCGTACTATGTCCTCCTCCGAGATAACTGGGCGGGGGACTTGGACGGCTCGGTGGCCATCATAGGCGGGGCTCTTGCTGACCCGTCCTGAGGTCACGACTGGGTTGCCGCCCTCGTGGACGGCATTGGCACTGTTAGGGCGTATTTCTCGCCCAACAGGAGCCTCGCCGACTTCAAGACCTTCCTTGTCGAGTTGGGTGCCGTCGTGAACCGGTACCACCCTCGCCCGGTGCTGCTGCTCGGGGATCTCAATGCCAAGTCTGCGGCGTGGGGGTCCCCGGTCACCGACGCCAAAGGCGAGGCATTGGAGGAGTGGGCGGTCAGGACCGGCTTGACCGTCCTGCATGGGGGCTCGGCCTACACGTGCGTGCGACAGCGGGGCGGTTCCATAGTGGACGTTTCGTTCGCTAGTCCCGCTGTCGCGAGCCGTGTCAGCGACTGGCGTGTCGCTGTGGGGGTGGAGACGTTGTCGGATCACCGTTACATCCGTTTCAGCGTCTCCGCCCGGGCCGCGGGCGGCCGCAGTTCGTCGACCTCGCGAATGGACGGTCCTCGCTGGGCGCGTAGGCACCTCGACAGGCGCCTCGAACCGACTAAACCTGTGCTCCCGGAAGGGCGCGCGCATCTCGCAGCGCGCTCGCCGCCACCCCGGCCAGCTTCCGCTAGTGTGACAGATGGCCTCACCTGTCACCCCCAGGCCTGCGCTTATGGAGGACGGAGGTCCTGCGACCTGAGTCGTCTGCGGTACCTAGCCCGTTCCTGAGCCTGGCGGGTGAGAAGAGTTCTAAACCTCTCCCGGTCCCGCTCCACCATCTCCTTCGCAAGCATAACTTGCTCGCAGAAGGAGACGGCAGAGTTCCACGCACTCTCACTCCGCACGATAGCCGCAATCAGGTTATCGAGCGAGAGAACTCCCACTCTGATGGCCGCCACGAGGTCTCGCCTCTGCTCCACCCAGCGTGTGGAGCGCCGTGTCCACGTTTCGACCATCGCAGTGGTGGCACTGAGGCGTTGGCTCCTTGCGAATCAGACACAGGTGATCCCCGAAACATCCTTTCCCAATGATCACCTGCGTCAGTCTGTATGAGAGGGTCCCGTGATGCCTCTCGAGGCAATTCTCTATAACGGGTCTTACCGCCGCGACGACGGCGTGCCCGGACCACTCTTGCCCCTACAGTAATATACGAAATGTAACTCTCTCTCTTTCTATCTTCACTAACAACTGCATAGCTAGAGAAACAAGCTAAAACACGTTGTCGGGGCTGTAAAATTTAAGGGATTTGCCTCGATTTCTCTAGGATCATCAGATGCTGATTTGGTGGGAATGGGACCACCTCGGGAGTATAATGAGGAATGTTTAGTTAAAATAAAATTCCGTTTTCTTCTAATTAAAATTTTAATTATAGGAAAATAATGCAATAAAAATACTAACGTATAGAATATTACTAAAGTACATAATTTTACAACTTTCAAAACGAACGAACGCTCATGAAAATAAACAATTTGAGTTAAATTTAGTGCAGTTTATGGGAATGCTTTAAATAAACTCGGCAAAGACTCAATAATAATGTGTATAACCGATTACAAACAACGCATATACATTACCTACTCCATGATTACATATTACAGATAGTCATCACTGCAGAACTTATTTACAATTCGTACTCAACATATGATATTGCACATTCAACACTTACATTACATTTCATGAATCAATAACATTGGTAGAGGGCAGTCTGAGATACTATTAATTCCTTGTGCTACATACATTTATAAAATATTTTCAGCATATCTTAGAAGCTTCACTTGTTTGCATTTGATGGCGCTTTACGTTGCCGTGGCTAATATATCAACAAGCGCACTGACCAGGTTATAATGGTGAGTTCACGCGATTATGTGAGGTAATATCACATTTGGGGATATATTTTAACATTATATTATATAAATAATTACACTAACTACTATACGCACGTATCACGCCCTTTCATTGAGATGGTCTACTTAATTTATGTTTCGAGTAAATATTCGAAAAAAATTCATTAGTAAATATATGTAAAAGTTTTTTGTGTATAGTGCGCCAAATTGTATACCAAGAGTGGTAAGGGTGGGGATGTGAACACAAGCACTTATACAGACATACATACATACCTACATACATGCAGTCGGATGGCGAGTGCTGGTCGCGACAGCCCTAACCTATGTAAGATCGACAACAAAGGGCAGGCACAACGTGGCGTCTTGTAGCTCCCTATTAGAAATTATATTACTACCCTGTACCATGATGCAATTATCGCAGAGTGATACCTATCACGTGGGCCCAGATAATTTCTAATAAAGGGGATATAAACATCGCTTACTAAATTTTGCTCTATGCATACTAAATGCAGACTCGTCTACTTGGTAACTTAACCTAACGTGTAGTCAATTTTGAGATTTTAAAGAATACATCTTGTAAACACTTACTGTGAGGAGGTGCGATAATTGAAAAAATGATTATTAATCTTTTATCATCGACCAAAACATTCATAAAATACTATAGAAATAATAAAATTAACTTACTTTAAATACCGTAAAACGTTCACATCTAAAACATTTAATTCAATAACAACTTTTTATATCGATTTAATATTATTTACAAAAAAAATGTCCGATTGATTTGCATGACAGTTACAAATAGTCAAAAATTGTGGTTAACCGGTATAGTTTTTGATATCCTCTTATTAATAGATAGCATCACTTCAGCTTCACAGAAGTGAAATCGTTAAACAAGTCTATTTCGTGTTTCCTTTACTTATACATAGTATGATCACTTTGGTACATAAAACTAGTTATCATAGCCCTGCCTATGCTACAGTCAAAACCGAAGACAGAGTTTCGACAGTTTCATAGATCTACACATATACACTTCGTTTTATTTACATATTATAGACATGAACATACAAGTCATGTTTCAGTTGATGTGTTCAAATTTAATCAAGTATGTGTTTAGTTCATCCATTTACGGCAGTTAGGTGCACCACACATGCACATTATTTTGTGGGCGTCGTCTTCTATATCAAACTTGTAGTCATAAGCCAACTGTAAAGAAAAAAGTGAATCAGTAATCTTATAAATAGATTTTTTTTTCTTAAATTGTCCTGTGGTTCTGTATTAATTCATAGATACATATTTATTATTAACAGGTTTAATAAGTTCTTTAGGTCCTTATTCTAAAAGTCGTCAAAAACTCGTAAAAGTCGTAAAACGTCTCAAGTATCGGGTAAACTCGAATTATCTGAAATTAGTTATAAATTCAGATTAAAACTTAAGCATCGATCTTATCATAAGACGCGTTTTAAGTATAACAGATGAAGTCCATCTAATCCGTTTCACAGTTCTGACAGATTAAAGAATAGTGATGGGGTCAAAGAAATCTATTACTACAATACTCGAGTCTTAAGAGATATCGATTTCAATTTTTAGTATTTACCAACGACCAAATAAAATTGATAATATGTAATTTGTTTTTTGGTCTATGGTATTTACGTTGTAAAAGTCCGTGTAATGGCATTTCTTAGATTTTGTTAGTAAATCTTAAGTATACACTAGACTTGAAAACAAGAGATTTTGCCTACAAAGATTTTTCAAAAATAACATTAACTTGCATACTAAGATTCGTTTTTGTTGACAGTTGAATGTAAGCTGAAATTTAGGTATTATTAAATACTAAGAGACGACGCCAGGATTGAAAACGGCTTGTTATTAATAAATACGATTATTCGTCCATTTTAACGATTATTTATATACAAGTTAATTTGAAGAGTCGCAACACAAAGAAGGCCTCAAAGATAGACGTATATATGGCAGTAGTACTGCCGAACATCTTATACTCCGCCGAAACGTGGACCATTTATCGCCGTCATATCCATATGTTTTATCAGTTCCACAACAGATGATGCTTAAGAAAATTTTGAAACAGACCGCCTACGCAACGCTGAGGTGCTGCGGAGAGCAAATGTGTGTGGAATTGAAGTCTACCTGAAGAAGGCAGTTACGATTGCGGAGTCATGTTTCACGTATGACGGAGCAACGTGTGTGGCTAAGCGCATCCTTTACTCGGAACTTGAGAAGGGCAAGCGCAAGCTTGGCGGATATCTTCTAAGGTATAAGGATGTGCAAAAGCGGCACCTCATAAAGTGCGACATGGATCCCTTGCTTTGGAAGAAGCAGGTTTAGGACAGGCTAGAATGGAGACCTCGGGTTCAATCACAAGTGCACGCGTTTAAGACAATCAGAAGCGTGACGACCTAACACGTCCACCTCTGGCGAGTTAGTTAGTTAGTTACCATAATGGTGTGCTCTCATGCCCACTATGCACAAGGACCTTCACAAAGAAGATCGGCTTCATAAGCCACATGAGAGCACACGAACGACGACAGTAGTTGCGGAATGCAGTCGCCGTGGCCGAAAACGAAGTCTAAAAACGCCATCTATGGTATATTCATTAGTTATTTCGCTTTGTTTAATGATTTAAATTTAGTCATTAAGAATTTTACAGCTCGTGATAAAATAAAAATAGCTTCATAATTCCACGGTTTTACGGAAAAGGTTTATTGAAATTGTGTGAGTTGAGCCAATACGAAGATGTTTCAGCTTGTAAACGTCAAACGTACGTACTTCTTAGTATAATGGACTATAAGTAAATGCAAATGACGGGAGAATTTGTCTAGTGGTTAGTGACCTTGACCGCTAAGCCGGAGGTCGTGGGTTCGATACCCAAACAGGATAAATATTGTGTGTTGAGCACGGTCATTTTTTCTGTGTCTGGGTTTAATTTATCTATAATATGTATGTACAGTTAAAACGTTTATGACGACATCGTTTAGAACAACATACCGGTTTTATTTACTAAAATCAAAGGTCCCGGCTGAATGCTATATGACCGCCTTATTAAAAACATTGATTTTTACGACATTGCTTGTTACGACATACCTTATTAAGCGACTACATTTAACTAATATCTTCGGAGCGTTATATCTTTTAGAACGACCAGCTGTATTGCAAACAATTTACGTATGTTTATGTACGTACGTATGTTACGTACGTTTATGTATTCACATCTGTGGCACAGTATAATGGTCAATGGCTATTAAGATAGCAAAGTATACAAAAACGTGTCGAGTTTAGGGTCTTTCGTAATTCTTAGAAACAAAATACTCGTGCAACTTCTAACGTAAAATTAAAAGATTATTTAAAAACAAAAGCATTTCTGTAAAGTTATATAATTTAGCAATAAATATCATTGCCAATGTTTGTCTCTTTTAGAGATAGATTAATAATGTTTACAGAACTTATAGACTTAACAACAGGAGGGTTATGCTGATTAAGTGTATAATATTATATATCCCTCACACATCTCACAAACGGCCCTATTTCTAAACATTTTTTGTTCATATTTTGCAAATCGTCTAGAAATAAAGTGCAGAATATGTTGTTAAAAGCTTTGTGAAAACATAAGGGACACGCGGTATAAAAATTATACAAAAATAAAGTGGCAGACATATAATTACATTGAAATATAAATACATAAGGACATATAAATGTGTGTAAAGTTTATTTTCTTCAAAATCTATCGAGTGGGATACCATAAGAAATGGCATAAAAATATATATAAGTTGGAACTTATCATTGTAATGAAAAATACTAAAATATATATATTATTATTAATTTAATTATACGATTTAACTTGTTTATTCTGTCCTCTAAGTACACAATACAATAAATTTTAATAATCTCCTTTTTTAACCTTTTTAATAAATGGTTACTTTTTCAACCAAACAGTTTGCGAGTGTCGGGGCCGATCGAAAATAATATTGGTTAGTTCCATACCTCTTCTCCTCTGGCGATGCGTCGCTTGGCAAAGATGATGATGCGCAGATGTCGGTCGACTTCGACGGTCTCGGCCACGCAGTTTGGCTGGCAAGAGTGGTTGATGTAGCGCGCCAGCCCGCCCGATAGAGTCGCGTCCACCACGCGACGCTCGTCCAGCCGGAACATGTAGATGCCGCGGTTCTGTGTACAACCAACCCTTCGTTATAACACTATTTAAAACCAAATTTCGTTATCTTCTCCCTACTTTTTTAAATTAAGAAACCCCACCGACTAAAACCGTTTAAATGCGGCTAGAGCATCCTAAAATTTAAAGTTAGAACAAGTAAAAAAGGAAATTAAACTATCAAAATATGATTATAGAACATTTCATTGGCAAATTGTCGTTACAGGACCAAATAACAAATAAAATTTCATCATCATCATTAACAGCCTTTAATAGTCCACTGCCAGCAGTGGACTATTAAATGAGAGGCCTATGTCCAGACATAGGCCTCTATTAAAAAAGTTTTTTTTTTTGTTTTTTTTTTTTTATGTTAGAGGGGGCAGACGAGTAGACGGGTCACCCGATGGAAAGTGATCATCGCCGCCCATGAAAGTCTGCAACTCAGGAGTCACAAACGCGTTGCCGGCCTTTTAGGAAGGAGTACGCTCTTTTCGTGAAGGTTTGAAGGTTTTGGCCTACTGTACCACGCTGGCCAGACGGGTTGGTATAAAGTTGGTTTCAAGTTTTCCTTCTCTTTGCAGTGCTGTTGTTCTGCGTAGTTTGCTCCCTTAGTCGGCTCTTACGACACCCACGGGTTGAACAGGGGTGGTAACAATCCGTCTTCTCAATCCGTCACCACACGGACAATAAAAATAAAAATTAATGCACGCGAATAAACAAATCGTTTAAACCAATTTACTTGCAACCAAATTCACTAATAATAAATTAACAGACTTATAAATATGTAAAATAATTCTTTATACCCTTTTAAAACAAATTTTTGGAGTACAGTATACATGTTAAACTGTCATGGTACGGAATGTGTACGTGGGGTATACTGAAAGTCTCAGGATTTGGCCACTTGCAATAAAAGAATGAAAAAAACAATTAAGGAATTTCGAAAATGGAACTCTGGGAATATGTTACTTTTTAATTTGCGAGACTGTCATTTGTTTTTTCATTGTGACGTCCTTTCGAAAATTGTTTGTCACTATCAAAATGAATTTAACTCGTGAACATTTTCGTTCAATGACAAAAAATACGTGCCAGCAAATACGTGCTTTGTTAGGCATTGGAATGAGCCAAGTGCAAAATATTTCGGAAGCTTTGCACTCGATGGATACCGCATGACTTAACGCAGGACCAGATACGACTACGTGTCCAGTGGTGCCGTAAAATGATAAAAAAGCTTAACAGAGGACAGTCATTGGCTGTCTATCGTATCGTAACAGGCTACGAAACCTGGGTTTACTGCTTTGAACCCAAAAGAAAAAGCCAGTCGGCAGAGTGGGTCTTTCTTTTTGCAGATTTGCTGACGAAAGTTAAGAAAAGTCAAAGCAGTGGTAAAAAATGTTTGCTTCTTTTTTCGGCAAATCAGGAAATGTCCTGATTTCAAGCGATACCTGCAGTGTAGTGCACTGCAGGTATCGCTTGAAGATCAAAGGACAGTGACTGCAGATTGGTACGTCAACACTTGCTTGCCCAGAGTCTTAGAAAAGGATCGCGAAAAGCGTCCTTGAATTAATGCCCTCCTTCACCGCGATAACGCATCCTCACATTCCGCTAAGATAACCGAAGCCTGTTTGAAGGCTTCAAATGTGGAACTGATGACAAATCCGCTTTACAGCCTGGACTTTGCACCCTGCGACTTCTTTTTGTTTCCAAAAATTAAAGACAAACTTAGCGGTCCACGTTTTATGAGCCCTGAATCGGCCAACCAGTAGGTGGGGGGTGGGGGGGGGGGAAACGTATGCATTAACACGTGAGTGTCTTGAGTGGCGGCCAACGGAGCGGGAGCAGCAGAGTGCTTGTTTGCATCGAGCGGGGTGTCGCGTGCGAGTTCAAACCACTATGTGTTTTGCAGCGCTGAGTCGAGCGTGTGAACGTGTTTCGTTTGAAGTAATTATCACGTCAATACTAAGTAAACCACAAATATGGTTATCAAAAGTTGTCACCGCTACCTCGTATACTAATGAAATTAATATTTATTCAATCTTAATGTTTGAACCAACTGATAAACAACAATTTTCTTCCAAGTATATATTAATAATATAGTGCGAAGCAGACGTGAAACGACATAATATATATACACATAGGAACGTTGAGCGTGCACTTAAGACACTCAGTGAACGCTCTAACGACCGCTACGCTAAACGACCCGCTGAATGCATATTCACTAAGGCCGTACACTTACTGTTACAAACGATACTAAAATAAGCTATTTAAAGTTTAAAAATCAAAATAATCGGAACCTAAAATTTTAATATCTGACGATTTCTAGTACATTAATACAAGAACACATTTGCATCATAGAAAATATTAATAAGTTACCTTAGCTTCATATTGCTTTTCACGTATCTCTGATAGTTGGGAACGAATAATCTCTCCAATATATTCGATAACCATCGTATGTTTCTCAAGATCGCGGGCGGCGTACAGACCCAATCCTGAGATTTTAGATCTGAAATATAGATATGTATTTGTTAATAATATTGAATATTTGTGTTCATATAATATCGATTTCGAATTTATGTCATATCGAGTTTTAAATGCATAATATTGTATAATTATTACCAAGAAATATGTGACATCATTAATCGATCGATTGAAAAATTGGTGTATCGTTAACAGACATTCAAAGCGCCGCATATTTGTCGCACTTTAGCCATCGGAGATACGAAAAACCATTCAACGGACCTACCGTATCATCCTCGACAAGACATTAAAAATAACGGTGAATACTTGTAAATAGATAAATAAGAGATCGACCTAGCTAGGTAGACGTTGTTGCGCCACTCCGACTTCATCTTCTTGTACTGCGAGCTCTTGGTGTGCACGAACTGCTTGGAGTAGGGGCAGGCGGGGTGGTCGAGCGCGGGCGGCGGCGGCGGCGCGGCGGGCAGCAGCGAGCGCGTGGCGCGCCGCCACGTGCAGCGCGCGCGGGCCTCGCTGCGCGCGCAGCCCGACGGGTTCACGGCCAGCCCGCCCTCCAGCAGCGCCGAGCGCCCGAACTTGAACCGGTAGTCCGACAGCGTCTCGATACCTGCCGGGGCATACATATCATTTGGCATTAGCCGTACCTTCTAACTACGAGGTGTTAGAAAAACTCATAACTGTTGTTGCATTTGTTTTATCTTTACTGATTTTATAATCACTACAGTATTCATTGCTAACCTTTCAGTCCTTAATAATTGACATACTGGCACATATCAAAACGTGTTGTAATGAAAAGAATGGCCGTGAGTTTGCCTTTTCTTCTCATAAGGCTCATTCATATATTATAGATTATCTATAGGTATACATTATTTATGCACGTTCCATATGTTTGACTAAACAGATTGTCGCTAATGTGTGTTAATCTATAACTTTAAAGTCATTACATAAGAGATTATTTCAAACAATTTAAAAATATTTTTATAAAATAAGGATATTTCTACTTTGAATTCGGCTTATAAAAATATAAAAGTACACCGTACAAGTGTCACACCGTATAAAACGCTACCCACTCACCGGGTAAACTTTCAAGAACCCTAACGACGGCCGGTTCGGTCAAACCGAACAGATCTTCACCGGTCACATAGTTGGGCCACAACTTTAGCACGCCGTCTTCGCTTCGACCTTCACGAAGCGCCGCCACCGCGTCCAGCACCTACGAATTAGATTAAATAAAGATATTAAATGGAATCCACTACTAATAAATACAATTGCTTCGTAAAAATATTTTTTATTACATAAAAAAATATTTATATATATATATATATATATATATAAAAGTATTTGTCCGTCTTCAGTTAACAAATTAATAATTATTTAATAATATTTATATTTTAAATAATTATTTTTATGTAACATCAGCACGCGATCTTCACACTGCGTGTATTGAGTACATACATTGGCCCAGGCGGCGCGAGGCGTGGGCGCGGCGAGCTCCCCTCGCGGCTCGTCCTGCGCGCGCACGTGGAACCGCGGCCGCCCTTCCTCCTCCGAGATCCAACACAGGTACCGGCAGCGAGTGTTAGCGCGGGTCATTGACCAGTAGAAACGAACCTACATAAAAAATACTTATATAAGTATGGATTATATATTTTTACTTTACAATATTACACACCAACTTATAAATAGGACATAGAAAAACGTTAATTCAATTAAATAAACACAAATTTTTGAAGAACTTTAAATTATTCATTTAATATTTTCAGTTAACATTTAAACAGTAAATTGTTTAGAAATATATCTAATCACCAACTTTATATAAAAAATATAAATTATTTCAAATCGTCTTGTGTAGACTCTCTTGTGCAGTGAAGTCATAGATCAACACACACAATAGCAACAATCTCTGTTTAGTCAAATATTTAAATAAAGGCTTTAATAATTTCAAGGGGAAAAACATATTGGAACTTAAAGTCACTATCAATCCTACCAACATTATCTTCTAAAATTGATTCTGCAATTATTACTAATTAATACTCACAATCTTGTACCCAATAGGGTATATATAGTTTGGGGTATGGAAAGCAGCCAATTGATGTGGCAGTAAGTGGCCAGGACTGAGAAATATGAGTCCCCCGACCCGAATCAAGTGATTAGTGTCCGAATGCAACATTACTGATGCCACCTGACGTTGTTCGTCACGAGATATGTACACCCGTCGTTGTACGCTTAGGGTTGTTAACTCGTTGTCTTTTTCGTTCTGTAGAAAAAATAATGGTTTAGAAATAGTAATAATTTATCGATCATGATTAAGGTAATTGATTAGACACAAGAAGAACTAATAGTCATATGTGTGTGTAACTCACCTTCGGGGCATGCGACGAGCAGAAAGCGGATTTGTTCTTGTAAAACACACAGTTATCCTTTACTGCACACCCGAGATGGTATACACTGCCACATCGGACCTTGAAACATCTGACTGTAGCTCCCAGTCTTCGGCATACGGCACACGTAGCATTCGAACCGGCTGCCAAGGCTGTCTCGACATTCATCAAAGCCCCGCTAACAGTTTCATATACACCTTCAGACCACAATGCACAATTCAAGTGTACCCATCGATTCACGTCACAGTTTAGAAGTCGCGACACTCCATCTGCTACTCCGTCACCTTGAATACCACATAATTCACACTTCCTGGTGTCTTCGTTGGTCACAGGCATTATAGCGACTCCAGTACGAAAGACTAACTCAGTGAGCTCTCTGTCAGTCGGTCTTTTATATTTGACTGGAGGCCCTATACATCCTGGTGACCAAGCCTTATATCGAATGCCTTTGAACTTTTCTTTCTCTGCGATGCTACTTTGATTGCTCTTTTCATCTTGCTCGCTTTTTAGATCTTCATCCAATGCACTGACATCATCACCAACCTCTTTCATTAGCTCATCGTTATCGAGTGAATCCATGAACGATAAGTCCATTTTTTCATCTTTAATGTCAGGCTTAATATCCAAGTCGTCAGTTTCCATGCTTTCAGTGGATGCGGTATCAAAATCGTCACGGTCTTTAGATAAATTTGCATCAGTGTCTGATTTGCTGTCCTCCTTCACCGTCGCCTTTGATTTACCATCAAGAATAATGTTAGTAGGTCGCCATGCGAAACTCTCGTAGCATTGAGTACTGCAAAAGTATAAATCTGAGTCGCTATCACACAAAATTTCACCAGCATTACCTTTATTGGCTGATAGCAGTGGGAATTCTGAGGCTTTGGCTCTAACAACGGAATCTAAAATAACAACATCGCAATGTCGGCAAAATTTGGCTGCTCCGTTTAGTATACTTTGGATGTCAATTGGTGTCCCTTCTTTACCATCTTTGCCTTTAGATCTGTACAAACCAAGTTTATGAGACGGTGGAGTAGCAGTTCTCTCTATGATTTGGTAAGAAGTCGGTGGTGGAATATGCAAAATCCCGGCAAGTTCTTTTAATACTCCAAGAATGTCTTCTGCAGCACCAGAGGTTAAAGTAAGGGTTACGGTAACATTTTCATTCGTTTCCGTACTGCCAGGTGAATCCACATTCTTTGATTTAGCGGGATCTGTTTCAAGATACTTTAAATCTTTTTGATTCTCCTCTTCTTCCTTTGCTTGATAAAGCGAGACTGGTTTGACTCTGATTGGTACAGGCGCTATTATTGGAATCGCTGGAGATATACGACCAGAAGCACAATCGCTATCATCATCCTCTTCCTCGTCATCAATAAGTCTTAAGCCCGGGAATCTGTTGAGAGGTTCCATATCAAAGCATTCTGGACTAGAGCAGCTTACAATACTATCAGGTGTATCTGTGTCACGCTCTTTACATATGAAGTCTAACTTTTTATCTTCTGGATCTTCCTCAAACACAATAGGCTGGAATTCTTGGTCGTAAAAGCCTCTTTGAGTAGATGCTGGTGGTTTTTCAGGTAATGGTTCCTCTTCACCGAATGGTTTAGTATTGTAGTAGTCAGCAACATTTGGTATTTTCGCATTGCCGAACTCGCCCGTCAAATCACCCTTTAGTATGTCATAATCCTTGTTCTTTAATTTTGTTAGATCTCCAGAACCGAATAGAGGGCAGACAGCGAAATTAGTAGTAAGAGCCGGTTCCTGGATCTGCATAGCTGGCATAGAACGCAATTGCACCATCAAATTATCAATAAAAGTGTCATAATCTTCGTCATATCTTGAACCTTTACGAGGTCTTTTTTTGGCATTAGCAGGGTTCATATTATTCTCAGCAGCTTGTTTCATATTCATTTGTATTTTACGTTTCTTCTGCTGATATTCACGTCGTTTACGTTTTTTGGCCTCTGATGGTGTTTCAGGGGCCGCCTCTAATGGGACGTCCGTGTTGGCGTTTTCGGGGAACTCTTCCTTCATTGGCTGATCCATTTTACCTTGGTCAGAGGCAGTTGATACGCCAGACGTAGCCGACTGCTGAGAGCTCTCATCAAGTAATTCTCTCTTTACTTCCAAGGGTGAAAATCTGTTAACCGGACTTTGCTGTGGCGGAGCAATTTCTTTCTTAATAGCTTGATGCAGTTGCTGATTGTCTAAGTTCATAGGATACATAGGCATCGATTTTATTGTTGGTGAATTTTCTGGCATCGGCGTAGTGTCATCTTTGTTTAATATTTTGACTGGTGGCTTGCGCACATCCATCAGCGATTGCGTAGAAGTCTGCGTTAAGGGTGAAATTGAAGAAGTCGGAACAGATGTTTGGAGTGGACGACTTGTAAAAGGAGAATTGATTATAGGGTTGTGTAAATGTCTTGGGGAATTTTTCGGTATTTCTACCTCCTGAGCCAGAGATATCGTTGGTGGTGGAATGGAAGGTCTAGCCAGTTGAGCTTCTAGGGAAGGTATACTTCCTAAAGCCGGTGCAGTTCTTTGTATGGTCATAGTCCGTTGTGGGACCACTGTGGCTGCTGTAGTCGTGGTTTGTAAAAGCTGCTTCAACAATACATTTTGAGATTCATCATTCTTTTGATTTGCTGTTGACTGTTGTATAACATGCTTGTTTGTAGTGTCGGCGAAAGCAGTTGACGTATTCGGTTCATCAGTTTCCATAGGTTCTGACTTCACTACTACAGCCTCTACGCTATGTCTTTTAGTTGGTTGTATATGACCAACTATTACTTCACTTTTCGGTTCATCGGTAGATTTAGATCTTTTTAAAGGCGAGGTCAGTTGTGTATGTAAGAGTTTTGAAGACGTAATAAAATTTATCGAACCTTGCGGTGGTTTCGGTTGCATTTGGTTAATGCTTGCGCTAACTACACTGTGTGGGCGCACAGTAACATTAGGAGGAGTTTCCTTGTTGCTCATCGTTGATCTCGAAGTCATTACTAGCGCCGGAGGCTGGCTGGAACTAATGCTCTGCTGGTTGAAATTCAAGTTGCTGGTATTGATTTGTCTTGTAGGTTGCAGAAGTGTATGTCCTAATATACTAGTCGGCAAAACTTGATTTTTCTGTTGGTAGTTACCCATACTAGTAGTGATTGTATTAGAGTGAATTATATTGGCTGGGGTAGTTGAGCTGTGTATTTTGGAAAGAGCCGGCATTTGGATCACTTGAGAAGCCGTGGAAGGTGGACCAGAATCTTCCATGGATTGAAATGGTTGTTGATTTGAGATTAAAGGCGACTGTGCGGGTGATTTCATGAGAGAATTTTGCATACCTACAGGAGAATTAATAGGAGAAATAGTCGGAGATTTTCTAATTTGACTCATATTTGATAAAGCGTTCACCCTCGAGCCAATTGCCTGAGCGGCATTCATCGGTATATTTTCTGTATTGGACATTGGGGTAGTAGGCTTCTCGATTCTTTGTATTGGAGATGGTCTAGATGCAGTGACTTCTACTTTGGATGATGGTAGTAAATTCTCAAAGTTGACTTGAGTAGGTGTTGCAGCATCACTACTCTTTCTTATTATGGTTTGGGTTTCAACTTTAGAGGCATTATTGTTTAATGAAGACATAATAGTGCGTAGTTGTTGAGATACATTTGCCATGTTTGATGTCAACTCGGCAGGCTGCGACAATGGTGATAGCTGTGGCACAGTAGCCGACTGCAATGCTAGTCTCTCTGGTTCTCTTTTGACGAATGTCGTTGGCTGCTCTGGACTTTCTTTCGGTTCTGGTTTAGGAACATTTACATTGGCATGTTGACTAGGATTCATCGGCTTAGATGGTTGTTTGACACCATACGCTTTGTTATCATCAGCAATATTTTCAAATATACACAACATATCTTCAAAGGTTTCGACATGTTTAGTATTCCCTTCAGCAGTTTCAGAGTGTTCTTGCATTGTAATATCGTTCAAATATCGTTCCTGAGAAGGCGTAGGTGACGGAATGGATATTTGTACAGACTCCTGTGCCATATCTGATGTTATCTGCATGTTCGAATCGATTACCATTTCCTTCCTTTGGTTGACAATTGCTTTAATAGTTTTCACCACATTTTCGTCAGGTTTCGATTCGGGCATTGGCTTTGGTGCTGGTGGCTCTGCTATGCTTTTATTATACGATAGCAAAAGGCTACCTTGAATGGTATCTTCTGGTTTATCTTCATCATCTCCTTCCATGATATTATCTGGGATTTTTTCAGGGATTGGATCTGGACTTTTTATTTCCGCTTTACCTAATAGTAGTGGAGTGCGATCTGATAGACAAAGCGTATGCGGCAGTTCAGTCTGCTGACTTATTTCAGTTTCGATGTCAATGTCTTTAGTCGGCTCTTTAAATAAACTTGGTCTTTCCATTTGCAACGATCCATGAGAAGTTAAACTTGATAGTTGCTGCGAAGTAGAGGTCATTGGATGGCTTTGATCCTTGTCAGAATTACTTTCCGAGGTTACAGTGCTATCTGGAGATGCAGCATCGTCTTGGAATATTTTTGCTGGTAATGTAGCGTCATGTGTTACAGATAAGCTTGATAATTTCGAATTTGACAAGGAAAGTACCATTGGTTTTTCGATAGTTTTAAGTATTTTCTGTTTAACTTGGTGCTGTGTTAATATAGAAACGGGTACTCGTGGTTGGTTTAAACTTGCAACTTTAGGCACATTCGATGATATAACGCTAATAACCGAACTGTTTGGTTTCGAGAGCGAGGAAGACGACATATTTATGGCTAAAGGTTGATTAGTTAAATTAATAGGCATTTTCTTTATCTGCGTTTTTGCACCACCGGCGTGGCTACTAGGAATAGGCATTGAAAGATTTGTGAGTACTGGTACAGATATTGTCTGATTTGCAATGGAGACCGAGGCTACCGTGGCCTGCGAGACTTCGTCGAGAATTTTGGTGTTAGTATGAGGTGATAACATTGTAGCATTCAGTACAGGCAAACGAGCTAGCGGCGAGCCCGAAGCCGAGTTCACTAGTTTATATTGTTGAACATTAGCTGACGGTTGTTTTCCAGTGGAAAGGCTAATTACAGCTACCGTTTTGGTGGTAGTTTCTGTTCGCGTTTGGGCTATTACAGATTCTTCTTCTTGTTCATCCTCAGGTTTCCCACTATCGATTAGCTCTTCAAAATCTTCTTCCGTGGCTATGCGTTCTTCAGGAGATATGGCGTCTGGTTCTACGAGAACAATGTCGTCATCGTCTAAGTGTTCCACAAATTCCTCGACGTCATCATCATCGTGTCGTCGTGTGTCATCAGCGTGGTCGTCATGGGTATAGTCCAACGCATCTTGAGAGTACAGTACATAGCTTCGTGCATCATTGGACGTCGCTGGGATATCTATATCATCGCTATGGATTTGCGTTGGTCTCGGGCGTGGTGGAGTTCGCCGCTTGAGTATGGAAACCTTAGTTAAATGGGTTGGGCGACGTCTTTCGTCGTCACGCGGGGGCCACGGTGGAGCTCCACCAAAAAGTCCAAGCTTAAAGTAACGGTATCCAGGCGGTATGGGTGCGGGAGCGTGTGGGCCATGAAGACCGCCGCCATGGTCGTGGTTGGGTGCAGGAGAAGCTGCAGGGGAAGCTGAAGGGGTCGGTGTTCGCGCTACATGCGGTGATCGCGATATGGATGGTGAAGAAGGTGCCCCACCCATTGGACTATATTGTTGGCGTTGGAGCATTTGCTGACGCTGCAACAAAAAAAAAACACTAAATAATATTGTCTTCACAATAATTTTCAATGTATGTATGTATATGTATCATAAATTAAAATATATTATACTAGTGAAATAGTGGTATTAGTTAGAGTCTAATTCTGATATATATCTTCCTATCTGAATAGACATTTAAGCTCATTATAGCGCCATCTAAAGCTGTAAGTATCAGAATTATTAATCACAATCTCAATAGTTGTACTTTACGCGATACTAGATGGCGCTGTCCTCCATATTCCATACAATTCGGGAACAATCGAACCATTTAATCCTATCGCGCAACACTGCCCCCTCCTAAGGCTGAAATTTATAAAGCGTACTTAGACTTTGCTCAGACTTACCTCACGAGTTAAGTGTGCGTTGAAATTTATAGTCATAATGCTTAGCTCAAGCTGAGCAAATGCTTAGCATAGTCTAAGTCACCAAAATCCATGACTTAGCGATTACTTACGATTAATATGCCAGAGTCAATGTGAAAAGATGGTTCGATTGTCCAGGAAGAAAAGCCGTAATCTAGTTCGAAAGCGTTATAACAGAAGTCCGTAAGGGTGTGCCAGGGTCAAAATAAAAAGTTAATACAAGAAATTGATATATTTGCGAATGAACTCGAGACGAGACAACCTCAAATATTGTTATGACATTTGACAAGTCAAATATACGTACGTTTTGTTTTACTTGTACATGTGTTATTTTTGCCTTTTATCACTTAAAATCAATGAAAACTAAAGGTGTTAATTGATTGAAATACAATAATATGATAAAATTTATAAGATTACTAATATTTTAGGTTATTACAGCTATTTTAAAAATAATATATTTTTGAAATACCAAGAATTTAAATTAATATGCTATGCAAATCGAAACGTTTAAAAATTTTTCCTGAGCTCTTGCTTAGCATACACTCAGTAAATTCTTAGCCCAAGAGGACTATAAATTCGAATGCTAAGATTACACTGAGCAGGAACTTAGGTAAGTTTAGCGTAAGCAAAGTCTGAGCAAAGTCTAAGTACGCTTTATAAATTTCAGCCTTAGACATGTTCGTCCTGAGCATTATCGGTCCCATAATATCGCGCCAATCGATTGACATGAACTATCTTTGGGGCGCCTATTGGACACTTCTGTATCCGGTAGGTGACATCATTGATTTTTGTCACTACTCGGTATGGTCCATCATTTGGCTCGTAGCTTCGGAGATCTCCCTTTACTGCGAACTGGATTATGTAGCCACACTAACGAACTTTTTTCGAAGCCCTTATTGTTCACTTTCCAGTCATAACGGGTTTTCACGTTCTCAGACATTTGTTGGATTGATTGTTTGACGTGCTCATAGATCTCATTCACCTTGTTGCGTAAGTCATTCGCTTACTCCGTTATACTGTGCGGGGCGTCGGGGGAGTATTCCAGTGATCAAGACTGCGGGCAACCGTATTTTTCTTCCGAAGTTTGCGAAAGCTGATGTTACTGAATTACTTTCGTGGACGGTACTGCACTTCGGTATGACAGAAGAAAGAGTTGGATGTATTTGTCCCAATATCTTTTTCTACTTGCCACAACTTTTCCAGATACCTGTCCAGTTTGGTCTAATCGTTCCACCATTCCGTCCGATTGTGGGTGGTAAGAGGTGGTTCTGGTTTTCTGAGCACCCATCACTCGACACATCTCTTGAAATATTTCCGACTCAAAATTTATTCCTTGGTCACTGTGAATTTCTAAAGGCACTTCAAAACGATAGAAGTCCTCGTGCACTTATTTATGTGCAACAGTTGAAGCCTCTTGGTAGCGAATGGCGATGACTTCGTCTCAATAACTCTTCGTAGTTGAACTCATCGATGCAACATCACTCCAGTGTAGCTTAGGAGTATCAGCTTTAATTCACTCGAGAATCGGCTTGATATCTGCATCCTCCTGCTGCTGCTGTGCTTGTTGTAGACTTTATTTCCATTCATTGCTAAGGTCCGTCTTTAACGTCCTTACAGGTATAGCTTCTTTTACTTCTTGCTTGGCACAGTGCTTGCCAGTCTTCAGAACAAGGTCTTCTTGATAATGCATCTGCGTTACCATGAGATTTTATTCGCGACTTGTCCTTGAGGATTTTAGAATCGTAGCAGCCATTTTAGCGCTGTGTGGTCAGTTCTTAGATGGAATTTACGCCCAAGCAAATATTTGTTGAAATATTGCAGTGTATTCACTACGGCCAGTAACTCTCTTCTCGTGACGCAGTAATTCCTTTTCAGTTTCGACAAAGATTTACTGAAGTACGCAATAATAACTTTTTACGATAACGCATAGCCAAGCCCAGTATCACTCGCATCTATGTCAACTATGAATTCATTTTCGGTATCTGGATACCTCAAGATAGTTGTTGCATAAACTTCTTTTGTTCTTGAAATGCAACGTCACAACTTTCATCCCAGCAGAAATGTCTTTTCTTTTCAGTAAGTTTATGAAGGAGTTTCGCAATATTCGATAATTTTTTCACGAATTACCGATAGTAGGAGCACAAACCCAAAAATGACCCTTGAATGAAAAACCCCTTACTTGGGTCTTATCTATTATACTATTTTTTTTTGCGGATCTGTTTGGACACTCTTTTCCAAAACCACATATCCTAGAAACCTTAGATGCCGTTTAAAAAAATGAACACTTCTTAGGACATAACTTTAGGTTGGCGCTTCGGATTTTCGATAACACGCGTTCCAGGTTTGGAAGATGTTCTTCAAACGTACGGCCCACGATGATAATGTCATCCAAATAGACCAGACAGGCGTCTCCAGTTAATCCGGTGAGTACTAGCTCCACCAGTCTTTCAAAAGTTGCTGGCGCGTTACATAATCCAAAGGGCATAACTTTGAACTACCACAGTCTCTTACCTGTAGAAAACACAGTCTTCTCTTTGTCCTTGGGATTATTACCTGCCAGTATCCACTTTTCAAATCTAAGGTGCTAAACCACTTTACCCCTGTTAGCATGTCCAGTGTGTCATCTATTCTTGGTAATGGGTAGCTGTCTTTCTTCGTAATGTCGTTCAAACGGCGGCAGTCAACATAAAAACGCATGCTGCCATCCTTTTCCTTTGCAAGCATTACAGGTGAACACCATCGGCTCGATGAAGGCTTTATAACGCCGTCCATCACCATTCCATCAACCATGGTTTCCACCTCCTCTTCTCATAATACCGGTAATCTTCTTGGTCGCTGACCAATAGGCAACGCATTCCTGGTGTTAATTTTGTGTTGAACTAAACCAGTCTTTCCGATATCAGCGTTATTGAAAGAGGAAATATCAGCTAGAAATGAATGAATGAAGAAATAGATAAGGCTAACATCCTCTTAGCCTTGTCTATTTCTTCCGTAGAAAAACAAAACACATCTCGACAGTCTTCCAAAAGTGTTGACACGTTGATTCCTGTATCATAGTTAATATTTGCAGTAGTCAGGTCTTGACATCGACGCATCTAAACCACATCTTCGCAAGTGCCAATCAGTGTGCCCTTAATAATCAATTCATCACGTGTTGCCTGTCGATTGTAAGATTTAACACACGTACTGCATAGATGTTAGTTGTACCTACTAGAGTTCGTGCGATTTTCTATGGAAGGTCATTATATAACCATTCAATAAGTACACACCGATGCAATTGTCCAGAATTACGAGGAAGACTAACTGGCACGATTGTTTCTGATCTGGGAGGAATAACAAGTTTCTTTAGGCTGTACACTTTTCCTGATAATAGAATAGAATAATCTTTATTGTACACCAATTCAGAATATTAAATAAGTTAATGACCATGTACAAATGGCGGCCTTATCGCTAAAAAGCAATACCTTCAGGCAACCTTTGGATATGAAGCTGAAGCTAGCCGACGGAGCTAGCCGACGGACATAGCCTGCGTAGTATATGGCACGCCCCTCAAATTGAGTTTTTTTTTAATGAACAAAGAGAGGAAACAGTCATTTTCCTGCATCAAATTACTATACAATGAACCAGGGCCTTTTAAGATTAAAAAAATATATTTCAACAATCATATTAAATGAATAAACGCTGTTTATTAGCGAAAACTCGAGTTTTTCGATGGTAAATTTGTCCTAACTTTTTTCACAAAAATAGGATTGCTTTCTAATTTTGTATAGTTAATGCCTAAGTATCATACAATAATACTAAATTACTTTCACGTTGGCAGAAAAGTTATAATTTTTAATTATTAAATGAACAATCAGACCTGACTTACGATAAATTGACCGATTCGACGAAAAATCTGATGTAACTCTGTTCACAACAATAGGATTGCTTCCTAATTTCGTATAGTTTATGCCTACGTATCGTACAATAATAATAAATAGGTTTTACGTTGGCAGAAAAAATAGAATTAACACAATTAATGAGTAAACGTACGTAACCAACAAAAAATACTGAATTTCGATAAAAAACCTGCTGTAACTCGATTCACAAAAATAGGATTGCTTTCTAATTTTGTATAGTTAATCCTAAAGTATCATAAAATAATACGAAATTACATTTACGTTGGCAGAAAAGTTATAATTTTTATTATTAAATGAACAATCAGACACGACTTACGATAAATTGAACGATTCGACGAAAAATCTGATATAACTCTGTTCACAACAATAGGATTGCTTTCAAATTTTGTATAGTTTATGCCTACGTATCGTTCAATAATACTAAATAGGTTTTACGTTGGCAGAAAAGTTATATTATTTACTATTAAATGAACAATCAGACACGACTTACGATAAATTGAACGATTCGACGAAAAATCTGATATAACTCTGTTCACAACAATAGGATTGCTTTCAAATTTTGTATAGTTTATGCCTACGTATCGTACAATAATACTAAATAGGTTTTACGTTGGCAGAAAAGTTATATTATTTATTATTAAATGAACAATCAGACACGACTTACGATAAATTGAACGATTCGACGAAAAATCTGATATAACTCTGTTCACAACAATAG